CAAAAGGGGCTTTGTATAATAAATAAACCCAAATACTTTAGAAATGAAAAGTACTTCACATTGTTTTCTGTTTCTCTTATTTGGTAAATTATTTCTTTGGTAAACTATTTAGATAGCTAAATATAAACAAAACACACTCATCAACTTTTAGATGAACTGCCCCCAACTGATTGATATTAAATACAACTCATAGGTGCAATTAAACTTTAAATAAAGTGTTTCTGAATAATTTTTCAATCTCATGCTTTACTTCATCAATCAGTTTATAATATCTGAATATTTTATATTGAACTATTCTATTCATGATAAATTAGTTATTTCCTTTTAATTTTGTAGGATAGTAATACTAGTTATGTTTATCTGCAACATGACATCATGACTTTGCGTAAACATACACGCCACTTTCAAGTCAAGTGGCGTGTTATCTATACGCATTTTGAGCTATCCGCGTGTATGTCCACGCCGAAATGAACCGTCATCTTTTGCGTGTATGTCTACGCCGTTAAATGTCCGAGTGATTCCGCGTGTATGTGTACGCCGTTAAATGTCCGAGCGAAACGAATCAAAAAGTATATCTACGTCTGTGGAGCGATATTTTTTTTCCTAGGATGGTAGGGGAAGACTCATAAATGGTATTAACCCCAGTGACGGGTAGGTTTAGGGACGGGGTTGGGGTAGGTCATATATTTATATATACAGTAATGTAGTTAAGTCAACGGCGTTGATAAACACGCTGAAAAGCGATTATGCGTTGTAGCAACAATGACTTGTTTTAAGTAGCTCGAATTATTTATAGGGAATTTTAATAATTAATCATGAAATATGATTAATATATTTACATATTACAGTTAAATTATCGAAATTGAAAACCGATCGATCATATGTATGAATGGTAAATCATAACGAATTATAATTCCTCATTCATATATCAATGGTCTCATTACAGATCGATTATATGAGATAACTTTAAGGGAATTAATTTAGCTATCAAACAATCGGTTTGTCCAGCAAACAGCCGTAAGATTAACTTAGCAACTTCTCAACAAAGTTATCCCTTTTTATAAACTCCAAGGAATATCAATGTTCCGGCCGTGAACATTAATTTTCCTGTGTTTATAAAATTCAGGTTACTGAAATAGTAACAAATTGTAAAGCTTTGTAGCTAGACCAATCATTTCATTGACTTGTAAATGAGCACTTCAGGATCAATCAAGAATATGGTTTTAATAATTGAAACTACGGATACAGAATTCTACATTTAAACACGGGATACATGTATGTACAGTTAAACAGTAAAACTAATGAGACAGACGAATAACAAACAGGAGTGAGAGAGAGAGAGGTTGCGAGAGAGAAAGATTGGGAGAGAGAGAGAGAGAGAGAGAGAGAGAGAGAGAGAGAGAGAGAGAGAGAGAGAGAGAGAGAGAGAGAGAGAGAGAGTAAGAAGATCTGGAGAGATCTTCTGGTTTGGCAAAATTCATCACAGACACAGAACCTTTTGAGACACACAGATCAAATCCCCTGAATGTGGCAAACAGATCTTAAACCATCTAAATCGATAGGAATTACGATACTTGCATGGGTATTTCTCGTGGGCTGAGAACGAAAACATGTGTGTGTGTCTCTGTCCTCGCGTCATGCGTTCACGTGGTCTTTCAGAGCGGGCAAAGCGCGTTAGTTTGAATGAAGGCTTAAAGGTCTTTGTTTCTCCTGGTGTTGCTGAGGAAAACCGCGTCTTGCGTGTGTGTCCTTAAGAGCGGGTGCGTGCTTTCTCAGCTCTTCCGGGCGAGCGTGGTCGCCACAGATTCAAAGAGTCTCCTTCAGGTTGAAGATGCCGATTATGTTCATTTCACTGAAACTAAACGTAAGAAAAAGTCCGAAGACGAAAATAAAGAAAGATTAAAGAAAACGGAGAAAGCTCCCTAAGGAGCCATGGACCCAGAAACCTCTCACAGGAAAAAGCTCTCGTGTGTTCCCAAAGAAACTTCTGTGTCTCTTATGGAGAGGGGGGTTCACGCCTCTCTTTGCGCGAACCACACATGACCGTCCGCGGATCTGAAGCGGACACAGTTCTCTTTGTCAAGAATTCCCACTCTTTGACTGAGTCATGAGGAGATTGCATTTGAGTCGTTCGGCTCCTGAAATATGAAATGTGTAAAATAATGCACCTTACTTCATTATGCTATCGGAATTCGGCTCCGTTAGATTGAGCGAATTACAGACATATCAGACACGTCACATGAAGATTATCGGAATACAGAGTTACATACGATATGCATTTTATAAGCATTTAATGTTCCTTCACACGACTATAAAGCCATAATACCTGCTACCATGACCTAGGAAATATCAAATTCATGTTTATGCATTTCTTAAGTGGTTATACTTATAGACAATATAAGATTGCAGAGTCTATTCCTCTTTCTTCATCAGAATTCAAGTGGGAGCTGTGATTTCCCTTGGAATTCCTTTTGGGAGTCATAAAGTTTTATGACCTAGCAAGAGGGAGAGTTATAGAATCTTTCTTTAGAAATAAACTTAAGGTTCGAAGTTACAGAACAGTTAAAATTACATCTATAGAATAAGACAAAACTAATTAGATATGCATGCATACAGGAAGGTCGTTTGTGTGCGGGTATGTGTGGATGTGATTGTTCAGTCAGCGTTTTCTCCGGGGAATCCTGTGTGTGCGGATTTAAATTGACAATGCTCGTCTTGTCATCTTCGTAGGAAACCCTCGGGGCGCTCTCCGCGTGATCTCGCCAAAGCGGGGCTCTTGGTCAAATGTCTTTTGGTGGTAAACAAAGTCTTCTTTGACTTAATCATTAGAGAGAACTGCCGTGTGTGCGAATTGTAGTCAGTGACTCAATCAAGTCCGAACAAAACTTCTTTGTGTCACAGCCAAAAAGAAGGGTAGAGCTGTGGTTGATTAAATTAGCTTCCAGTAATTTTAATCCACTGACCAGGATTTGCTAATTCCGAACCTTTGGCCGGATACCCGTCAGTGTCGCTACAGCGTGTTGATAGCACGCCAAAAATAGAAATACGAATTTGCGTGTCATACATACGCCATTTCATGAGATCAGTCTGTTAAATGTGTTCCCCGGTACATTTTTGCCATGTCTGCTTAGGCTACACTGCGTTTTTAAGGGACTGGTTTTGCTCTTTTTCTGATATCTGGCAACCCGTCACCCTGCGCTTTAAGCAATAGAAGTTCAGAAGTGACTAGAAGGAGAGCAGCAGTTTGAAAACCGAACAGCAGCTACTGTTAGTGTTGACAAAGTAGCCTGGTTTAAATTATACACACCTTGTAACTGCGTCATTATTTGACCATAGCCCGGTGAACACCGCGCTCCCTCTCAGTGCGTGTGCACCATAGACAGTATAAGAAGGGTGTGCACGCACACGTCTTCTGCATCAGTAAAATGCGATTGGTTAATTTGAGTGTCAAGTTGTAATCACGTATCGAATCAAAGGAAGATTTTATCAGCTGGTTCGGTGGCCAATTGTTTTGAGTTAGAAATATAGCTATAACTCGCAATGCATATTTAGTATAATTTTGCCTCAGATAGGCTACAGGATTATACATTCACTTTAACAAGCAGGTTGTTCATTACCACGGGCGGCAAACTGTTTGCGTGTTTAAAAACTATACATAAGAGACGGAAAGATGCAGATAACTATACATTATTTAAGGTTATTTCTATTCGTTACGATATTGATATATGAACTGTTGTCCAGCTTTCCCCGTTGCTAGCGTGCACTCCTCTAATCTGTCGCCTGGGTGCTGCACTGTTAACTGCTGCGCCTTTCCCCCCGAAAATATCACGTTAACAACAACAACAACCCTTTAGAAAATGTAATTCCTTTGTGGATCCTCTTGATCTGCTTTCTCCGTGTTTCTTTTTACAATTCGCTGTGTTTCAATCTCACGCACGTTGCACGCGAGTTAACCACGCCCACTTATTTGCATGTCGCGGTATACACGGAATAAAAAAATCTGTTACGGTTGACATTTTCTACCGCGGTAACGATATATACCGTCATACCGCCCAGCCCTAATTGTCACCATTGTTGAGATTCACAGGCTGATTCTTGATCTCGGTGTCTATAAAAAAAATGTGAAAAAAACTTTTTGAATGTGAACAACTTTTAAGAATTTTTTTTGATTACATTGTAAAAGTAAAATCTTAAGTAAATCTAACTCAGAAATTGGGATCTATATGAGTTCAGTGATTCAGGTTAAATGATTGTGTAAAAACGATCATATTAAAAACACAACCAACTCCATCAGATCACCTTTTCTATTTGTTCATCTGGCTGTTATAACTCAGGTACAGCAGCCAAACAAAATCTAAAGTTAATGATTTAAGGGTCACCAGCCCAACTAAAGCAAACACTGATCTCCATAATGGTAACATAACAATTACGGTTTTCTCCTTCAGTGATTCTGCTTGTTAACATCAGGTGTCTTCAATAATGCTCAATCATCGCTCAATTAATCACTTAATTATCTCATTAACTTTAACACTGCTTCAGTGTTACTTATAACACTCTGAGTGTGGACTCATATAAACTCTGTTAATTTAACACTGGGGATTTTGCTGTGTACCTATTTTAACATGAAATACATCAAGACACAAAAGTAAACTGTGTTTCCCAACTGGTCTTTAATTGTGAATTGTGAGACTGTCAATACAGAATGTTTAATACAGTTGCATTACAACCTCGTTATAGTTCTTTGTTTACATTTGTTTATTATGACTTGTTACATTTGACTACTGTTTAGACTGGCGTTGTACACACAAACCCTCACCTGAAAGGGAGAGAAAAAGAGATTAATAAATAACATACAATCTGAAGCTGACCCAAATAACAAAATAAGACAGTAACAAAATAAGAGAGATTTTATTTACCCTGTCCTTGATTCCTATAAGAGGGGGAAAAGATTAGTCCATTAGTGAAGTCCTTTCAGAAGAAAACATCTCGCAACACCATTTCCCCATCCTTGTGTTGTTCAGTTGTTTGAAATAAAAAGATGAACTTACTGAACGCCCTGATTTTCCAGGAGGCACCTGTAAGTGGCGATCTCCTGCTCCAGACGGCTTTTGATGTCCAGCAGTACAGCATAGTCTCTGCCCTGCTGCTCAATGCCAGAGCGCACCTGACAAAGCTCTGCCTCCAATGAGTTGATATGCTTCTGAAAGCCTGCTAGCATAGCGCTGTACCTAGCCTCTGTTTCCAACAGTGAGCACTCCAGTGCTCCTTTCTGTGTGGGTGATGAGAACAGTCAAAAAGAAAAAAGACAAATTTACATTAATCCAAAAACAGTTACCTTGAATAGAACAAAACAAAGACAGGTTTATCTTTGATAACAGCTAGCTACAAATTGTATCTAAAGAACAAGGCTGAAAACTTTTGGCATACTTTAGGATTGTAAACAACAGCTACTGCTTCACTGTCCACTTTGCCTTAATTTAGTTTTGGAAGTCATGGATTAACACGCACATATGTGAACAAATATTATAACTCAACATTTAACATTAGTAACATTATTATTTAACATGTTCATGCCTCAGATAATGTATTACCAAAACTCTCTTTCCACTGACTCTCACAATCCTTTTCTTTCTTTCTTTCTTTCTTTCTTTCTTTCTTTCTTTCTTTCTTTCTTTCTTTCTTTCTTTCTTTCTTTCTTTCTTTCTTCATTACATTTCTTCATTCTCCATCACATTCTATATTTCCTATGTCTCACCTTGCTGATTTGAGACTGTAGCTCGATCTCCAGGCTCTGCAAAGTACGTCGCAAATCTGAGATCTTTGACCTAGAGGTTTCTAGGCACCCTGTGTTGGTGGCAGCATCTTTACACAGATCTGCCATCTTAAAGAGAGTCACAAACACACATACTATGTGAGCTATTTAACTCGTGATTCACATATATTGTTTCGCTGTATTACGGTAATACCACTCCAAACTGCAATTTAAAATCAAAAGTCTGCCACTATGATGGCTAATTAGTGTTCACATGTAGAGGAATTATAAGTCTCACCTTCTCTTTGAACCAGCACTCCTGTTTTCTGCAGTGTTTATCTATGATGGTCTCATAATGACAACGGATGTCTTCCAAAACCTTGTTCAGGTCTTGTTGAGGAGCAGCATCCACTTCCACACACACTTTTGTGTTTGTTAACTGACACAGTAGTGCTGCCACATCCTGCAAGCACGCATAGTTCAAGCATTATGGCTTTAAATTGTGTTTAAGTTATTGTTAAATTTAAGTTATTGCTTCCATCTTCATTTAAAAACATACAAAATTCTCATATGATTATTCTGCTACAGGCAAACTGCTACAAACCTCCTGGTGACTTTTCTTCAAATATACCAGCTCCTCCTGCAGAGCGCAGGTCTGCATCTCCAAGTCGGCCTTTGCCAGGCATGTCTTATCAAGTATGCGATGCAGGTTATCAATGTCAGCCTTCACACACTGCCGTATCAACGACTCATTCTCATATCTGATTGGTGAAAAGGTTGGAGGGGAATGAAATGATCATGTCTAAACATGACAATGATCTATGTACAAACAAAAATCTATATAGCAACACATCTTTAACTATTGTTAAATTTAAAAGATTAGCACTTATTTTTCATTGTTTCTTCTATGACTACATAAAAATATTGTATCTATGGCTGGATTACATCTGTTCAAATGAACATCTGTATATGTATGTACATACATTTGCTTGTATACATGTGTGTTTATATATGTGCCAGCCAGAGGTTGTGCTTCACTTTGAAGGACTAATTTTCCATTCTATTCTGTTTTTATTTGTCTTTGACAAAGTAATATACCTTACTGTTTACTTATGCGAAAAAGGAACACAAGTTAGAGCTTATCATTCTGTTTTTATTTGCCTTTAGAAAAGTATGAAAAGAACTAGATTTAAAAATGCCTTTAGAGAACTCACTTTATCCTGAAGTCCTCAGCAGCCAATTTAGAGTTGTCGATACGCAGGAGGATTTTGCCGTTGTTGATGGTAGCATCTTTAATCTACAATGAAGAGCATTGAAAAAACTATCAATGTAGCTCATTTATAACATTGAAACAAACATTATGTATTTGTCTATTTTTTTATCAATACTATTTACATTGTGTTACTGCAAACTGTTTTTTTATGCAGTGATATTTTAGTTCACAGGAATCTGAATCAGGAATCTGTGCCATTTTTATTAGAATCTCAGATTTCAGACACAAGATTTCCGCCCTTAATTGTCTCAAAACTTCCATGTTGTACCTTTTCCTGAAGGCAATCGATGGTTTTCAAGTAGCAACTGTAGTCCCTCTGGCAGACCGGCCCCTTCTTCTCATAGTACTCGCGGATCTGCCTCTCCAGAGTGGCATTGGCAGTCTCCAGAAAGTGCACCTTATCTAGGTAGGATGCCAGACGGTCATTCAGGTTTTGCATGGTGGCCTTCTCGGTCTTCTGGAGGTAGTCATAATCTCTTCCATAGCACCCTCCAGCCATGATTCTTGCACCAAATCTTTCATCGTGTCCTCCACTGTACAGTCTGCCGTGACATCTGTATGCTCCATCAATTCTGTATGGTGGACATGGGGAGCAAGTATTCGAACGAAAAGAGCAGGAAGAGATGCGTGTCCTTCCTCCAAAACCGCAGCCATAAACACTGTAGGCTTTGGGAGCAACTGTACCACAATGACCTGGAATGATTATGGATTTGGAACTGGTCTCAGGGCACGGTTTGAGGCAGGTGTCAGAGCAGGTCTCAGAGTAAGTCTTCAGACAGGTCTCGGGGCAGGTCTTGGGGAAGGTGAAGGAGCAGGGCTTGGGGCAGATCTCAGAGCAGGTCTCAGGGCAGGTCTTCAGACAGGTCTCGGGGCAGGTCTTGGGGAAGGTGAAGGAGCAGGGCTTGGGGCAGGTGTCAGAGCAGGTCTCAGAGTAAGTCTTCAGACAGGTCTCAGGGCAGTTCTCGGGGATGGTGAAGGAGCAGGGCTTGGGGCAGATCTCAGAGCTGGTCTCAGGGCAGGTCTTCAGACAGGTCTCGGGGCAGGTCTTGGGGAAGGTGAAGGAGCAGGGCTTGGGGCAGGTGTCAGAGCAGGTCTCAGAGTAAGTCTTCAGACAGGTCTCGGGGATGGTGAAGGAGCAGGGCTTGGGGCAGATCTCAGAGCAGGTCTCAGGGCAGGTCTTCAGACGGGTCTCGGGGAAGGTGAAGGAGCAGGGCTTGGGGCAGGTGTCAGAGCAGGTCTCAGGGCGAGTCTTCAGACAGGTCTCGGGGAAGGTGAAGGAGCAGGGCTTGGGGCAGATCTCAGAGCTGGTCTCAGGGCAGGTCTTCAGACGGGTCTCGGGGAAGGTGAAGGAGCAGGGCTTGGGGCAGGTGTCAGAGCAGGTCTCAGAGTAAGTCTTCAGACAGGTCTCGGGGAAGGTGATGGAGCAGGGCTTGGGGCAGGTGTCAGAGCAGGTCTCAGAGTAAGTCTTCAGACAGGTCTCGGGGAAGGTGATGGAGCAAGGCTTGGAGCAGATCTCGGAGCTGGTCTCAGGGCAGGTCTTCAGACGGGTCTTGGGGCAGGTCTTGGGAAAGGTGAATGAGCAGGGCTTGGGGCAGGTGTCAGAGCAGGTCTCAGAGTAAGTCTTCAAACAGGTCTCGGGGAAGGTGAAGGAGCAAGGATCGGAGCAGATCTCGGAGCAGGTCTCAGGGCAAGTCCTCAGACAGGTCTCGGGGCAGACCTCAGGGAAGGCGAAGGAGCACGGCTTGGAGCAGATCTCGGAACAGGTCTCAGGGTAGGTCTTCAGACAGGTTTCAGGGCATGTGATGGAGCAGGTTTCAGAGCAGGTCTTCAGAGAAGTCTCGGTGCAGGCTTTCGAGCATGACATGGTGGATCAATGCAGAAATGGGACGATTGCAAAAGGGGCACGACACAAAAAGTCTTTAGAGATGTCCTGAAGTATATGGTGCCTTTGAACCAAGCTCTGTCCTGTTATATAGTTAGAGCTTGAGGGCGGGTTCTACACTCTGTTGATGGGTGTGTCCGATCGTGAAGCCAGCACCAGCAATATTGGTACTCAATGACCAGAGAGTTGAGTTTCCACCCTAATGAGGAAACTGCAAAGGAATGAATGTGTGTGTGTATTTATGTCTGAATAAAAGATGGTGCCCCAGTGGATAAACCAGACACTTATGAGTAAGTTTAACAATTCATACTCTATGACGACATAACAACTAGCAGAGAGTCAGTTCGGGTGGAGTTTCATTTATACACATGACTCAAAGGTCACTGAACAGACTAATGCATTCAAAACAAAGACAGTCTTAAGCACAACAAAGCTTAATCTTCATGGTAAGGTCAGAGAGGCCTATTAAAATAATTTGATGATAAAACGAGAGTTAATTTTGAAGGTTTTACAAGTATCACTGGGGTCTCTTGGACCTAAAACATAAAATCAGTCCAAAAAAAAGTCTCAACAGAAAATAAGGCTTAAGTTTGTGATTTCACCAAGGATATTCAAACCTGCTCCATCTAAAAAAATCTTTCAATCTTCTTGATGCTTCATTTCAATTCATTTTCATTTTCTCCTCAGAATTTACTTTATGGAGGCTTATGTGAAACTATTTAGCAAGCTATGTGTGTTTGTCAGAGTCAAGACTTAAATCAGCTAATTTTATACTCATTAAAAACATCAAGCAAGAACATATCAGGTCATTGACAAGATAAGAAACATTTTATAGTAATATCACGTGTGATTTAATTTTTTATACACATACACACACACATAATGTATGCGTGTGTGTGTGTTAAACATTGCATTAAACAAGAACGCTTGAAAAACATGCACATCACAGAACAAGAATTATAGAGAGGCACATTAATATGAGGAATTTTGTAGCCACAAAAGTATAGGCAGGAAAGCAGGTAAGGATTTCTCTTCAGGTAACTTAGATTTTAAGAGGATAAGAACCTGATTCTATATGTATTCATAGATGTAAATATTTAAGAAATAATCCCCATTTTAACGGATGAAAGAACAAACTGAAGCTGTTTGAAAAATCTCTCCAATACATGATGTACAAAAATACCCAGAAACTTCTTTCTGTTTTAAACATGTTTATGTTACTATAAGGCCATCACTCTTCTTCTTTTTTTTTGTTTTTTAATCTTTCCATTTTTTTTATGTCAATACCAACACCATGTTTAACTATAGAAGTGTGCTTATAGCATGCTATGCAAGTTACAAGAAATCATAAGAAACCTAAAGAGAACGTTGTAGTATCAGTGTTACACAAAACTCTTCTTTTTTTTATATAGATTTTGGGAAACTTACTGAATGTTAGCTTACTGAATGAACTATTGGGGGTGGACTGTTAGACAAAAAGTTCAAAATGAGGGATCCCTGTTGCATTATTTCATCATCGTATTTGCTCCAGCATAGTTTTCTTCCAGTCAGATGTGTTAAGGCTCGGATACCCGGAAAGAACCAGACATGAAAAATACCTTGAACATGGGTGTAAATAATGTGTGACCAGCCTGACAAATCAAGTAGCCTCATTACACTTAATGACGAATTCAATAATTTAGCTGTTTTAGTGAAGGGCACACAAAGCAATGGAATGTCTATAAGTAATATCTTGACTTACTGTAATAGAACCATGCGTAATTTTAAGTGCAATAATTTTTTTTAAGACGTGGATGAGATTAGGAGCTAGACTCACCTGTTAATGATGGTGCATGCTGTTTATGGTATGTGATCACATACCACAAAAAGACATAAGACAAAGGCAAATACATTTCTGTTGAATATGTCACTGTCTCACTGAAGGAAAACAATTTTGTTTTCTTCTTTTATTTTGAATCTTATTTTGTATATATTGATATTTAGTAATTCTCTGGCCTATAGGTCAATATATATCATATTTATGTAGCCTATATTTAATGTAGGCTATGTTAAATGTATTAAGACACTTTTTGTAAGCTTGTGTGGCTAACTTTTTTCTTTATTTCAAAAGAGTAGCTTGACTGGACTGAAATTATGTTAGTTTGAAAAGCTAGTTTCAAAATAGCTTTAGACACACTGCCGTGGTGCACGCTAGGATCTAATCCTGCCTCCAGGAATTCAGACCTTTAGGCCTATACAATGAGGTAAATAAAGAAAAGGGTATACAGTACACTTCATAATATTTAAAGCTCCAGTCTGTAACTTTTTTGGGTTAAAAATGATCCAAAATAAATTTGTGTGCAAGTACATAACCAGCCAGTGTTCAAAACTACTTCCTTTACCTCGATTCAAAATGGTAAGCTTGTAATAATTATTGTTTTTAATTCCAGTGGTACTGGTGGATTTCTGCGGGAAATTTGAGCATGTCTTTGCGTCATTACGTCACATCTGTACACATAAAGAGTCTCAGCTAGTGGGCTATATTGCGTGTGAAGATGTTGGAGGTGGAGATTTATAGCCTTTTCTCACAGCACTTGATATAATTAAACGTATTAATTTTATGGCGGATTTAAAAATCAAGTATCAACATCATTTAGTGTACAGTATACATACATTCATACATACAGCTCGATCACCTTTTGATTTGCACCGAGCGAGGGACAGATAAAAGTGACTGATCACAAGATCTCACAAGTGACATAGAGGCTGTGTATGGCCTAATAAGATCACAAATATAATCTGGGGTCGAACTATGTAGAGCCTTGTAAGCAAAAAGAAGGATCTTAAAGTCGACTCTAAATTTTATTGGTTGCCAATGCAATGAGGCAAGAACAGGGGAGATATCCCTTTTCTTAGTTCCTGTTAACAATGGCTGCTGAATTTTGAACCATCTGTAACCGAGACAGTGTAGTTTGAGGTAGGCCAACGTACAGAATTACAGTAGTCCAATCGAGAGAAAATCAGTCCATGAATCACAATTTCAAGGTCTTAACTAGATAGAAAGTTTTTCACTTTTGCTATAGATCGGAGAGTTGAAAAAAGCTACTCTTTACAACTGCATTTACATGCTTGTCAAATTGGAGAAGAGGATCAAAATAGACTCCAAGATTTTTTGCATGATTGTGTAGGTTGTTACTTAAGGGACCTGTGTTTTAATGGAGTTGTTGGTAGCAGCAGGGCACTTCGGTCTTATTTTCATTCAGTTGCAGTGAGTTATGTCATCCAGGTCTTGACTTTGTTGAGGCATGTGAAAAGGTTGTCTAATGAAAAGTCATTTCCTGGTTTGATTGGGAGATATGGTTGGAGGTCGTCAGCGTAACAGTGATAATTTATGTTATATTTCTTGAATATTGAGCCTAAAGGTAACATGTAGAGGGAAAACAAAAGAGGGCCAAGAATGAATCCCTGTGGAACACCACAATGGATCGGCGCAGAGGGTGAAGTGAATGACCCGATATTTACAGAGAAAGTCCTCCCCTTTAAAGCTCCTGTAGGTAACTTTTGAAAACATGTATTTGCTTAAACTGTCATTATGTCCTGACAGTAGAATATGAGACAGATAATCTGTGTAAAAATCAAGCTCCTCTGGCTCCTCCCAGTGGTCCTATTGCCATTTGCAAGAAATACACGCTCCCGGTCAGAAACAACCAATCAGAGCCGAGAGGAGTGTCTTAGCAGTGTCAGTCACGCTCGTGTACGCGCTGATCACACCCCTCTCTTGCACAGCGCGAGCGCCGGAGCGCGAGCCGTCGTTCAAACTCAAGATTGCCGGCGTGCTGCAGCTGTGCTTATGACGGAGAAACAACCTAAACTGCCAATTCTCGAGTGACACCTGCTCATAAAACAAAGAGGTAAAAGGAAAAAGACTGATGACGATAAACAAGCGAAAAAGAAAGAATTACACAGAGCCCATTGACTCGGTGTCAAAACTCGAGCCGCGTAACATGTAGATAAAATGTCACGCACTCTGCTAAGCAACAATTGAAACCTGCTATTTCACTGGCTTGTCATGTTGCTGAAATAATGTACTAGCACACCTTATATAGCATTATATATCGCTAGAATAATTACTTACATACTGTAACGTTATTACCGTTATATTAACGTTATCTTACTAGCCATTTATAACTTATAGAAAGAGTGCAACATTATAAAGTTACATGTAGGCTATTGGAAAATACATAATGATTTGAGGACCAAGTTTGTAGTCAAAGTATGGGCAGGCCATAGTCAATGTAAAGCATATTATTGACGTTTAGTCCCTATTAGTGAATGTGCCATATAACTTTTTATCCGCCGTCATCGGTGGCCCTGTTTACTAGCCTGCGCGTTTACTAGCCTGCATACATCCTTCACAAAAGTAATCCATCCGGGTCCAGGGGGATAAACGAAGGCCTTCTGAGGGTAATCCGTGCGGTTTTGTCGTAAAAATATACATATTAAAAACTTTATAAATTAAAATATCTGACTTCCGGCAACGATCGACGCGCGTTCACGGGTGATGGAAGTCGGCGTACGAGGTAGGACGTAGCGTAGGAACCGTCATGACGTAGACGTTGTTTTGCTCTGCTCTCTGGCTGCGCAGGGACGTTCGTTCTACGTCATGACGGTTCCTACGCTACGTCCTACCTTGTACGCCGACTTCCATCACCCGTGAACGCGCGTCGATCGTTGCCGGAAGTCAGATATTTTCATTTATAAAGTTTTTAATATGTATATTTTTACGACAAAACCGCACGGATTACCCTCAGAAGGCCTTCGTTTATGCCCCTGGAGCCGGATGGATTAC